CCATTCATCATCATCTTTTGAGATTGGGACAATAGACCCGTCAAGGTAGCCGCGGAGGGTGAACCGCCGGGCAAGGAGGAGGAATAAGCGGCTCCACTTCTTGTAATTTGGTTGAGAAAAACTGAGTTGAATAGGGACATGTAATTTGACATTAGAAACATAGAAAGCCAGATGTGGAGATTTTTGGGTGGTAGATTGAGAGGTGATCTCGCTTTCGGCCATGGTAGAGAGAGGAGGGGTGGCCGGCCGTGCGAGAGAGAGGGAGAGTGGCGGCGGCGCTGGTGTCTCGGCGAGGGAGGAGGGAAGCCGAAAGTCAGAGAGGGAGAATTAGGGTTTTTGGTTAGGCTCCGATACCATGAAGAAGAATTATTTTCATTGATTAAATTGTGAGGAGAGTACATGTATATATACAAAAGTCTCAATCCTAATTAAGGTAGGAGAGACAATCTAGGAAACCTATACAAATATGGTAACAATAATAATACAATAATATTAAATATATTATATATATTTAACAAATAGAAATAAAAATTCATACATTAGTTAGACGCGATTCTTTTTTAGACAGGAGTATACTGTAAAATCAATGCTTGCACACACATACACATGAATATTTATAAAACTACTCCCTAAATACCAAACCAAACTAGCCCATTAATTGAGATTACCTGAACCAAACACCCCTGCCCCAGCCCACCCTAAGTACTAACTGAAATGGCATGGTGCATTGTAAGGGATTTAGCTGATGATACTTCCACTACTGACTGGTTCATCCACAAAAATTAAACCACACAAAGCAAACTTAATTTATTTATGATGAACAACCAAAACAGAACACCAACTAAAAAAAGAATTTGCTTAAAAAAAAGAGGTGGTAAAATAACTTACACACTTGAATCCTCTCTCCCAAGAAGCTTAACTGGAGTCCCTGATCTTGGGGTGATCATATTGTTCTCTGGCAAATCATCCACCCCAACAATCCGACCCGGCCACCACGACCCATTTCTCCTGCGGATCCAGACTAAACCACCTGGCGGCGCATTGATGGATTTCGTGCCAGACTCCCCAGAGCTCCCCATCGCCATCCCCTCTTATCACAGCCGCTGAAATAATGAGGAAAATCGAACAGTACGGAACGCCCCAACTTCAAGGAAGCATTTCTGAGCACAAAGACGAGACAAGACTTGGCCGACCTCCGGATGGGTGAAACATGAACATACCATTGGGGGAAAAAAGCAGGAAACTTGTGAAAAGAAATTTCAAACCTTAAATGCACCGAACAAAGCAAACTCTGGATGAAAATGAATGCTCTAGACAAACCGAAAATAGAGAAATGAAATCAAGTCAATAAATGGAGGAAACCCATAGAAAGACATACGGTGAAGAAAGATAGATCTAGGGATGACAAACGAAACTAAAAAGAAATCAAAGAATCGATCTTTTCTTATATTCAACCACGAAGATACTCGAATACTTAGTTTTCCCTCTGATTCATCAAGTCTGATAGCTGCTAAGGTTCACAGGTAACTCGTTTTTATTCAACCCAGGACGGCGAGGATTTCCTTTGGGGTATTTTTGAGCTTCACAGATAAGAAAAGATCAATGAAAAAAAAGTGGGATAGATGGAGAGCCGAGAGAGAGGAGCTGCTGCGTGGATGTTAAGAGTGTTTCATATTGATGACCACGAATAGAGAAACAGGGGAATTGAAGGTAGGAGTATCCCTTCTAAAATGGATCGGACCGTGTATCCTCTTCTTCTTTTTTTTCAACACAGAGAAGTAAGTCAACGAGAGGGAGATAATGTGAAAACACTGACTGCGCATGATGAGTGAGGTGAAAGTCATCACTTAGAGCATCTCAAATATATTTGCTAAAGGAAATGGGATAATAATTGTCATTTTAGCAAAAATGAAAAATATTCTCTCCCTCTTAAAATGATTATCTCGGTTCGGTTTATAAGATTTGATTAAAATTATTCTCAATTCAATTTATTTGATTATAAGTATAAAATTATATATTAAAAAATATATATTTTAAAATAACATTAAAAGATCTACAAAATAAGAGATGATATAACTATGTTATTTATTTTACCAAATAACTAACAAAAACAAGTAAAAAAGTGATTAAAATTTGACTATGTGAATAGTAAATAAAATAATCACTTTATGACGAAGGGAATATTGTTTTACCTATCTAAAACTCCATAATAATTACGGAGTAATATTTTTTATTTTTTAATTAAATTGAATGTGAAAAAGATGTGGTATAAAGATAAGTTTGGATGAAGTGAAATAGGAGGGGAGGGGCAAGGCATTACGCTCATAACATGGATATTTATAACTTCAATTGAGAAGATAAGGAGAAAGACAAGTAGAGAGCAAAACCCAACAATTACTAGTGGTGAGTAATGACGACATGATAAGGCAACGAGAGGCTCATTTAAGCCACCGTTTTGGAGAGAAAAAATATGTGAAGAGTGAGGAGAAGAATTTTGAGCGAAGATAGGAGAGATACGGAGTATATGACAACTAAAAAAGAGACAAAAAGAAAAATATAGAAGAAAGTAATTTTTTCAACATTTTTCCTAAAGAAGGTAGAAATTAAACTAGATAACTATTTTTAGAACAAAAAGAATATAAATAAAAGTGTAAATTAATGTGGTCTCCTAAAAACTATGGACATCTAATAATTTTCATAAAATAAATGACTAAATGTGAAATATTTTAGCTATGAAGGGTAATCTACTTTAGCACTCACTTTGTCCTCTTAAAAATTTTGCAATTTATAGTGTTTTACGTAGTGTTCATTTTCAAATAAGTAGTATTCATTTTAAAGTAACGTATCTTTCATACAACCATATAAGTCGTTAAAAATGAATATAATACTACACGGAAAAAGAAAAATGAGCATAATTCAATTCATCTTAAATTCACACCTTGTGCTGCCATCCTCACTTCATTCCCTTGCCGCCATCGAGCTTTCCCGATCACCGCAATAAGGATTTGCTGGCCTTCATCATCATCGATTGACACAACATCATAGTTGTGCTCCCTCGATCAATCTAAGAGGAGTTTTGTTTTTTCATCAACGATCTCTCGATTGACGCATCGTCTGTGCTCCCTTTCTTCTCGTCGAATTGACACAGGGAGTGCAGCTGTGCAGGGCGATGGTTTGCACCGCCCAAATCGGATCGTGTCACACACTACAAAGGAGATAGACATTCATTTAAAAATTATCAGTCGTATAAAAAAAACAATACAACCAGTCATATGATAGATATTGCGGTATTGAGTGTGGGTGAGTAATCACCAAAATTTGTGGATGATGTTTTGAGTAATTAAAATGAAGCAGTTTTTTTCAAAAAAAATAAAAAATAAAATAAAAAGAAGTGTTATGCTTCCCTAAACAAAAAGAAAAAAAAATATGAAGTTTTTTAAGGGAGAGAGGAAATACTTTGGGTGATTTTCCTGCATGTGTAAACTCATTGTTTTATCTTCCTTTATATGTAAATTTAATATACACTTTCCCAAATAATACCAAACGGAATTGCCTACTCCGTTTTTGTCTTTATTATTGACTCAAACGGAGTAGGCTAATCCGTGTTATTCATTGAATTATTGAACGGAGTTGCCTACTCCATTTACCTATTTGTTCCAAATTTGTTTCCACTTTATTCTTCCAAATGGAGTGTCTTGCTTGTTCCAAATTCTTTTGTTCCAATTTTTTTGTTCGAATTTTTTTTCTTCAAATGTTTTGTTCCAATTACAATTTTCTTATTGGTTGTTTTTTGTTTCAATTTTTTTTTGCTTTTTAAACCTTTCTATCTTTTTTTAAAAATATTTTAATATTACTCCGTCCCCAATTTGATTACAAATTATGGGTTACGAAGTAAAATTTTTTACTTTTTGAAATCATTTTATTTACAAGTTGGTATATCAATAAGATATAAAAATTACATATTAAAAAACTACATCAAAAGTTCTACAAAACAAGAGGTGACAAGAATATTTTATTTTATCAAATACTTAATGAAATCACGTAAACAAATACAGAGTAAAGTTATCGAGAGGACATAGAAAACAATTGTAATCTATTTAAGGACGGAGGAAGTATTATAATTTTTAGTTTCTGAAAGAAATCGATTAATTTTTGTTACTTAGAAATTATTTATAATAAAATAATTATAGTGAGTTTGACTTTATAGTCAGCATCTTCTGGAATTTTTGGACATATCAGAATACTTATGAGTTCACTTGTTAACAATTTGTCGTCCTTGCCTCTTGTGTAATCTGGTCTGCATTATCATACATGGTCATATACATTACCAAAAAAGTATAGTAATTTGCACATGTACACTGTCACATTACAACATGGCCAAGTCACATTACCATAGTGCAAAGTCCTATTTCGGGAAAAACAATATGAAAGTCCTATTTTTATATTTTTTTCTATGTTTTAGTTCTATTTAGGATGATTTCTATAAAATGTATTAAAGAAACACCTTGGTTCCCATGACATTGGGAACCAATGTCATGGGATGACCCGGGGGCACTCCGGTGCCCCGTTCGTAAAATTGACGGTTCCTACTCCCCTTAACCCCCCGGTAAACCCCCCCACCCCGCCCCAACCCGAACGCACCCCCCATCCCTTTCAATTGCACCCCACAAGTTGATTTTGACTTTGGAGTCATATTTTGACTCCAAAATCAAAATCAACTTGTGGGGTGCAATTGAAGGGGGTGGGGGGGGTGCGTTCGGGTTGGGGCGGGGTGGGGGGGTTTACCGAGGGGGTTAAGGGGGTAGGAACCGTGAATTTTACGAAAGGGGAACCGGAGCGCACCCGGGTCATCTCATGACATTGGTTTCCAATGTCCAATGTCATGGAAACCTTGCCCTTAAAGAAAAGGAAAATACTAAAGATAATGGCTACCGGTAATTGTTTACATACATTACTGAAATAAACAAGTAAAGTTTACATACATTTATATAAACAAAGTTTTACATATATTGGTCATTTACTCAATACTTATCACTTTCCTTTGTTTATTCACTCCACAGGAAAGCGGCAAAAGCCTGCCCGGCCACGCCCTGCCCGTCCGACCTCGTAGCGGAGTCAAGTTCGTCCATCCTAATCCAAACAAAGAGCGGGTGGCATTCCTTAGGTTTTCGCCCACGGTGCGGTTCTTCGATTTGAGATATTGGACCTAAAGCACGAGCAAAAGGCAACCATGACCGGTAATATACAAAACCCTTTAAATCTTTTTGTGCTCGCAGCTATAGATTTTGACTTCAGATGTAAGATCATACAGTAATTCATGGTGTGAGTTAAATTGTTGATCTGATTGGATTGTGTTTTTTTTCTTTGTTGGGAAGATTCTAACTTTTTATGCTCTAGTAAAAGTTGAATTCCGTAGAATCCAGTTTAAGCTTGCTATTGTTATTGCTGAAGTTGGATTTTCCATACATGTGTGAATGTTGAGCCCATTCAGGTATTATGTGTCTGTTTGTCTGATATTTAACTCTTGTTCAGATTATGTTCTGGAGCAAGAAATGGAAATCGAAGCATTAGAAGCTATCCTAATGGATGACTTCAAGGGTTTGTGACAGGCCGTCCATGTTTAATGCTTATTTTAGTGAGCCCCAAGCTATTTGAGTTTCATGAGTGTTATCTTCCATTTCTTTTTGTCCCAGAACTTCACACTGGTGAAAGTGGACTGAGCACATCCAGAAGATGCTTTCAAATTGCTATATCTCCTCAGGTATATATGTTATGTGAACTGTTAAGTTTTTCTTGAGAATTGCATTTCTAAAGTAATTCTCATTATTAACCTTTTATTGTAACAATGTGTAAATTGGTTTGAACACTTTCTTTTTCAACTGTGTTTGTCATGGTATTGGTTCTTTTTACCTGCCTCTCAATTTCTGACACTACTTTCATCATTTGTTTTATCATCAACATTCTTAATGTCTTATCAACTTTACCTATTTTTTATAGGAGGAGGAGGCAGATGAACAAATAAACTTGTCAGGTTTTACTACAGTAACTTCATGGATACCTCAATCAGATATATTATGCACTTCATTCTGCCTACTGCTTTGGATAATAATGCTTACCACCTAAATGCATCTGCAGTTCGACTTGCATTAATTTTCTCGCACACTGAAAAGTATCCTGATGAGCCCCCACTTTTGGATGTCAAAAGGTATGAGCTACCCTTTTTTTATTGCCAAAAATGGGAAAAAATAAATAAATACCAACTACCTGCCTTAAAAAAAACAACTACCTGTTTAGATCTGGACTTTGGGTTTGGACCCTGACCTGAAGAGTGGGCTTGGAGTAATTTGCTGCCTAACTAGGATCAGGAAGAAGTCAGGCTCGAACATGTGATGAGGTTGGCCCACAGGCCACAGCTGGCCTCCTTGGACAATCAAGCTCCACCCACATCCAACCTCATGGACTTAGCTGTTAAAAGCATCTAGCATAGGCCGGGCTACCCAGTTTGGTGTATTCTGGTTGTATACTGACCTATACTCCCCTGCTGGACCACCCATGTGGACCTTGGAATTTCTGCAGTCAGGGCCAAGAGGCCTGGTCCCTTTCTGCACCTTGCACGCCTATATAATATATAGTATATCCCACATTTGGTGGGGTGGCACAATCTCATAGTACTCAATAGCACTTCTCATTGCCTTAGTCCCCTCCCCAAGGGTCTCAAGACCATCATGCGGTCATCATGATATACAAATTTCTGTAATTCTGTGGTCCTCATATCATAGGATCTGCTTATACGAAGTATATCATTTTAATGGCCACTGAGCTTATTTGGGGGGCACTTGCATGACTGTTTTGTTTTAATAAATCTCGTTGGTAGTTTTTCAGTTTAAAGGGAATTCAACCTGGAGACCTTAGAACTTTGAAAGAAAAGCTTGAACAAGAGGTAATTTGTACATCCTTGATCTTCTATAGTGCACTGTTTGACATCTTTGTGCTAATCATATCATATGCTAGAGGTAAATAATATGCATTCTGAATATTGTTTCTATAAAAAAAATCAATGCCAATAAATTGAAGAAGCATGCCTGAAATCTTAGTTCAGTTTTATACGGAATAACAAATGATCAATGATTAGTTTATATTGAAGAGAACTAATTGCATAGTTGTATGTCTAAACACATTTTTCTTGGTTAAAAAAAGATAGAAGAAAAGTTCCATCCCAGTATTCCACCATTCCAACAAGGCACAATTGTAGCTTGTCTGCAGGTGAATATCTAGATGGAGAAACTGAGCATCATGTCCTCCTAAATTTATTTGAAGTGTAAAGTTTTTGGCTGTTGCATTTATTTAACCACTTAAATGCACAGTTTCCATGACCATAATTTATCATGGAGCTTGAACTGTTATGATTGTATTATTCAGGCAACTGAGAATCTTGGTATGGCAATGATTTTTACATTGGTCACATCAGCAAAAGAATGGCTATCTGAACTTTTTGCTAAGGATGCTGATGATGAATTTGCTGGACAAGCTGAAGTGGCAAAAGATGAGGTATGTTGTTTAATTGTCCAACCTGTTGCATAAAGAGATCCGAAACATACACAAGATTGTATGTATCATTATGTGTACCCCAATTTTATGTCACTTAACTGAAAAGGGTGCAAACCAAAATGAGAAAATGTGTTTTTGACTTATCAATCTTTTCTTCAGTTCAACAACTTCAAGGTCCCCTTAGGCTATGGTTTTTCTGTGATGCTTTTATCAAACTGCAAATCCGCCTGGTCCTAAACTTATAGCCATATGCTTTGATTTGAGTTATTGAAAAGGCCCAATAAAAATTGTAGCTTGCATTATCATTTGATTAAGGGCTAACATGATTTAACGACATGTCGACATGTATGTTTACCTTTTTTTCTAGTATCTGCAGTCATGCAAAAATTTCAAGCAAGCTTTTGTTGTATCCTCCAATGTATCTTGGTGTCTGACTCATGGATATCAGGATTTGATATTTCCCTCATTTCCTTCTACTTTGATCTTCAGTTAAAAAGCAGTTACAAGTTGATATGAAGCCAACATTTTAATCAACCTTCTATTACAAGCTTAGACACAATTTGTTTATTGGGCTTGGAATATATGCTTAACTCATCTTGACTGCAAACAATGAGCTACAGATCTATCTTGCATTTTAACCACCATTTTTTATTCAGCTCATTAACAACAACCCTGTAAGGTATGACAAGGTATGATGAGGGTGGGTGTATGCATACCTTACCCCCTACCTTTTCATTTAGAGAGGTTGTTTTTGAAATACCCTCGCCTAAAGTGTACAACTCATTAGCAGCATTGCAAGTTTTATTCACATTGTAGGACTGTAAGTAATAGTGGGAAATTTTGTTTATATAAAACCCCGTCTGTCCTAGAGTATTCATGTAGTTTGATTTTTTAGTCAAAGTTGGCGGATACTCTGGACAGAGAAAGCATCTTGTTCTTATAGAAGTAACTAGAGCAACTGGCTGCTGAATAGTGAATTTGGTTATGTACTTTTGAATCTTTCCAGAATAGAGTTTCTTTATGATATTTCAATTTTAACTTTGGTGGATGGATGGTGCATTAACAGTGTATGCACATTGTCTATTGTTATGTTCTCAGATGCTAATATTGCCAGTTGATTTAAATTCAATTTTGTTTTTTCAAATGTAATAAGGTTCTATTTTTATTTTAGATAGTTGTGCCTCATGGAGAACCAGTAACCATTGAAACATTCTTGGCATGGAGGGAAAGATTTGAGGCTGAACTAGCCCTGGAAAGAGCCAAGTAAGTAGGGAGTGTATCTTATGTTACTCACATATCAACCAAGTCAAGAAAATCAATTGATATGCTATAGACATTTGTGAGTCATGATTTCCTTTTTAATACAGTTATAAACATTTACTTCACACACAGTTAGCAATTAGTACATTGTGGTGATGGGACACAAAAAGTTGTCATACTCTGATGAAGGTTTCATTAGGGGTGCAAGGTGAATAGGAGCCAAATAAATAATTTGCCAAAGAATATATGAGTTTTTTCTTAATTTACCAAGACTATACATGGAAACAAAGAACACCTGTAGATAACCTTTTTAACTATATACGCTTGGAGTCAAAAGCTGTATTCGTTTTTCCTTTGTGGTGAAAATTGTTTAAAACACGATGCCATTTGCTTTCAGAAGCAGTAGTCCTGATAAATAAAACAAAATTCAGGTTAATGCCAGATTCAGCGCTTTCAGTTCCCAAGGAAAAGAAGCTGACAGGCAGGCAATGGTTTGAAAGTGGAAGAGCATCTTCGGTATTATTTATTTATTTTCCATCCAGCACCAATGGAGCTAGAAGAGTTATTATTCAAAGTGTTTTAGCTTTTGACAAAAAATGGATTAATCTAAATCCCGCGTCAAACTTCTTTTGGCTTTTACTTTCTATGAAGTTTTGGTAGTAAATGCAGCAATGCATCAAGGGTCCATGTGTCCAATATAAATAGTCTGTCTACATCTTGACCCCTAGACCTCAACAGAGTTGGGTTTTTGCTGGGCTTGTTGTTATTCTTCTTTATTGTTTTTTATTTATGGAGTATTTATTTATCCATCCACCCATCCATCCATCCATCCACGGAGTATTAAATAATTAGTTTTGCTTTCTTCCTTCCAATGAACTGTTTCATGTATAATATTAAACCTCGGCCAAAGAAACCGGGCTTATCATGTTTTTTCACCCAGAGTCCTTTAGTGTGTGAGCAAGATTTTCCAATACTATTTGATCCCAACTCCCATTGGCTAACTGTATCTACCTGGCTGGAGATAAATGAATTTGTTGTACTTAGCACAGTGGATTTGTTTGGAACCTGAAAAGTGCCAGGGAAAGAAAATAGTGGGAATATTTGGAAGAAAAGATATTTATGTTGAAAATAATACCATCGGGGCTGTAGTTGGATTTGATTTTTGACCAGAAAAAACAGATTGTATTAGATAGTTGTATTGGACAAATGGTAAGGGATGAGATATCAGTGAGTATTGTCCTTGTATTCCTACATTTGGCTCTTCATATAATCTCCCTAACCAAATGACCCGGCGTGGCATGCTCATAAGCTCGCTTCATTTGTCATTTGGTTTCTACAGAAGGGCGCAACGACTGTTGCTGAAGAGTCTGATGAAGGAGAAGAAGATATTGATTTTGATGATGAAGACTTTGAAGGTCACTTCCCATTTCCCCTTTCCCATTTCTACAGAAGTACACTAGTATACTTTACCCTCTTCTTTTTGTGAACAGATGTAACACATGCCTTTTGTGTTTTTGTAGTTGATGAAGACGATATGCTGGAGCACTATCTAGCAGCAGAAAGACCAGCATAAGATCCTCTCATTTGGCTTTATCTAAAGCTTTTACATCACTTGAACTCTGCATTTATATAGTTTCTATAAGGATCTAAATGTGAGATTGATCCTTAGGGCTCTTCTGGTTTTAGATTACTAGGGGTTTTAGGTTGATTGAGCTGATTCTGATTCTCATATCAGCTAGAATCACGTGCTGTTGTGTTGGTTTGAGATTTTGTCTAAAATCAGTCCCCGTGATTCTGCTCCCCAGAGCCTCATATTTAGAACCGATCAGGTGGTTTTTTTTAGAGCCAATAGACAAATCCAGAAGTGACTCGAGTATCAAAACCAGAATTTGAACAAAAAATGAGCCTCTGGCTCGACAATGATTCTTGGCGGTCTTGATTTGTGTTAGAATTGGGATGTCGTTACACACGAAGTTTGGAAAATACATTTGATGCATATTGTTGAATTAGTACTATTTGGAGTTTAAAATGAATATGCTTCGTGACTAGTTGACTAAATATGATTTGATGCATACCGTTTTTTTGGTAACACTAGAATTGAGTGAATATTGTCACATTCCTAAGTCTGGTATGGTCTTTCCTAAATTTGATATAGCGTGCAATATGCTCGTATAGAAGACAAATATTGGGAAAATAGACAAAAAAAAAGTGGTTCAAAATGTGTAAAGCTGTTGGCATGATGTAAATGAAACAGATTTATTTTTTTCCATTTGCCATTACATCACGGAATTGTTTCTCCTTTTTTTTTTTGAAAAGGCACATTTTTGTTGATGAGTTTTTATCCTAGTGGCGTTGTATTCTATTTCAATTATTCACATTAGTTCAATCAGTAAAATTTATGTTATCATATGAGACAGCTGAATTAGAATGGGTTCGAAAAATGGCCCTGTTTTCGATTTTGATTCGGGTTTTAGAATACTCCGTACCAAATGTGGCGTAATGCGCCTACCAAACGCGCTTTTGGGAATAAAATTAATGCGGGCGAGTGGTGTCAGTCCATACCTGCCACAACCATACCTACTTTTTTGTTTATGTGTACTCGGTAATAACACCATAACAGTCCTTTAAAAAATAAAGCACGTGACCATCAGGGGTGAATTCGGGTCGGTCCAAATACAATCACTGCCGGTAAAACCCACGTTTTCCTCGTTCTAAATAGGAATCTATGTTTAAAAAAGGAAAAGAGAATTGGCATTTTTTCCGGGAAAGGAAATCATTTAAAGAAAAGAAGAAAAGAAAAGAAAAAAAGTTGTTCCTATATTTCCGTAGGCTTGAAGGAGTTAAGCTGACCAACTGATGGTAGATGGAGTAGTATAGTATAAATTAATCACAAAGCCTTTGTGTTGTTAAATCTTGGTGTCCGAGAGAAATCATGATGAGTTTCTCCAAATTGGGTTTATTGATCCTGCTTCATTTCTTGGTTTCTCCGAAACCCATTTCATCATCATCATCAGAAGAGATCCCAAAGGCTTTCTTGAAATTGGCAAAGGAAAGAGATGTGTTTGATTGGATGGTGGGGATAAGGAGGAAGATACATGAGAATCCTGAATTGGGGTATGAGGAATTTGAGACCAGTAAGGTGATAAGGGCGAAGCTGGATGAGTTGGGGATTCCTTACAAGCACCCCCTTGCTGTAACTGGTGTCGTTGGCTATCTTGGTTCTGAAAATCCTCCATTTGTGGCTCTAAGAGCTGACATGGATGCTCTTTCTATGCAGGTTGCTTTCCCTTTCATTTGTTTGTTTGGGCAGTTTTAGACTGTGTTTTGCCATGTGCAGCAGTTGAGTGTATTATGGCTTTTTGAATTTGCATAGGAATTGCTGGAGTGGGAGCACAAGAGTAAGATTGATGGAAAGATGCACGGCTGCGGACATGATTCACATGTTGCAATGCTTCTGGGTGCTGCCAAGATTCTTCAACAGCATAAACACATGCTTCAGGTTTGATTCTTGATGATGTCTGTCTCTCTGTTACAGTGTCAGTGTGTGCCCCCCTTCAAAATGCCGTTCATAACCCATACTACAGTATAAGACATCATGCTCTGAGTTATAGAGCCCATTTGGTAAGTCTCATTTGGATGAAATCAGTGGATTTGCTTAATCATCTGAACGGAAAAAGTTTTAGTAAAATGAATTTCAGTCGCATAGGTAAATCAAAAGCTGCTTATTGATTTGATTATATTGATGATGATGCTGCCACAAACGGCCTTATTTGGCTGAAACGAATTCTTCCGAAACACTCTTCTTTTACACAAGTTGAACCATTTCAGCCAAACAACATCAAATGAGCTCTTCGTTTCATTTAAACCTAAAATTAGTTTCGATGCAATATAATTTTGATCACAGGGAACAGTTGTTTTGGTTTTCCAACCAGCAGAGGAAGGTGGTATGGGGGCAAAGAAAATGGTAGATGCAGGAGCACTAGAGAAGGTGGAGGCTATGTTTGCAGTGCACGTAAGTCCTAGCTATGCTCTTGGGGAAGTAGCATCCAGATCCGGTTCATTTGGTGCAGGAAGTGGCTTCTTTGAAGCCGTGATAAGTGGGAAAGGCGGTCACGGTGCTATTCCTCAACTTGCAATTGACCCAATTCTTGCTGCTTCAAATGTCGTCGTCAGCTTGCAGCATCTTGTCTCCCGAGAAGCTGATCCTTTAGACCCTCAGGTAACAACATCAATTCTGTTTTTATGCCCCGAATAAAATATTTTCCAATCCATTATCCTCTCTTGGCTTGTGGTTAAAATGGTGGAAACAAAATGCTGTTTTGAGCTGTTGATTTGTGTGCTACTAGCTCATATTTACTGTGGTCTGTGTAACCTGTTTCACCAAGCTAAGACTAACACAATGACCATGCTTAAGGGGTTTAAGTTGCAGCTCTATGTTTATGTTACAGTATTTTCACATCACGACAAGTTTGATTTTTCAAGATCAATAATGAGGCAACTCCAGTCTATTGCCTACCAACTTTCTCAAACAAAATTAGTGCATTCCTCAAGACACACATACTTTTAATATTAGCCCCAATTTATGTTGAAATCTACGGTGAGTGTTACATCTATCAAGTGATGAATTGTGAATTTAAAAGATGCTAAGTTGTGATATGAATAAAAACTAAATACAAATTAACCGACAATTTATCGAAATTTGGGTGTTGTGGTTTGATAGCGTCACTTCTAATAACCGCAAGCAAGACTTAGCTTCAGTTTACCAAACTAACTCTTTGCATAAAAAGCAAAGTTGCTTGAAAAGCCAGGACAATGCCGGCAGTAGCCATTTATCTTATCTTATCTTATGCAAGGAGGAAGTTGAGGCAATATGTGATAACAGATCAATGTATGCTACTACGTACATGCACTTGCGCTCCCTTTGTTGTTTCATCCTAAATGGTGGACTTTTGTGATACGAGTAACTTGAAACGTTATATGTTTGGTTTGAATGTTTCTATATCAATGTGGTATATATGACTTTAAGATTGAACACTTGGCTTCCTCGTTTATAGGTTGTCACAATTGGCCAATTTCAAGGAGGTGGCGCATATAACGTGATTCCTGATTCTGTTACTCTTGGTGGAACATTTCGGGGCTTCTCAGTGGGGGGAATGACACGTCTAAGGACACGTATCGAGGAGGTTAGTTATGCTTCAAGATGTGACCAAAAAAGAAGAAGCTAAGGCTATGTTTATCTTTGTTTATAAGGATATTATTTGTTACTAATAGTTACTCGATGGCTACCACCTAAATAAGTAACAGGTAATAGTAGGACAAGCCGCGGTTCAAAGGTGCAATGCAACGGTTAAGTTTGATGAAGAGAGTCCATTCGTCCCTCCCACCATCAACGACAAAGGACTGCATCTCTACTTCCACCAAGTTGCTTCTGACATGCTTGGGAGTTCTCGTGTCAAAGAAGCTGAGCCGATGATGGCCAGCGAAGATTTTTCCTTCTACCAACAAGTGGTGCCCGGCTACATTTACTTGCTGGGTTTGCAAGATGAAAATGGCGAAAAACTTGCATTCCCACACTCGCCCTACTTTAAGGTCAATGAAGATGCTCTTCCTTACGGCGCCGCACTCCAGGCGTCTTTGGCAGTGAGGTACATTCTTGATCACAATTCAGAGGTTCCATTGCAAAGTGCAAGCAAGCGTGATGAATTATGATTATTTATGAGAGAGATCAGATCTTAACCCACATTTATTTGTTGTATGCCTTGCATTTATTTATCTAAATATTGCTGCTCTATAATAATAGTAGTATATGGAACTTCATATCTGCTTTTATATATATATATATATATATATATATATATATATATATATATATGATGGCTTTCTTGCTCATTGTTTTTTCCAATTAATGAGCATCAAACACAAATAAGTTTCAGGAAAATAGTTTGAGATCAAATACACGATTTATGTGCATGATCGAAAACTCTAAATTGGGGAGAAAACTTTTGAAACAAAAAATTCTATCATCAACAAAAAAATAAGTGGGTACGATGAGTTCTCATCTCTAGTAAACGCAATTTAAATATGATCATTAAGGAACAACTTTAATTTCACACAAGAATACACAAGCTTTGCTAAAAGTATCACAAATTCACATCACACCAAAAATTGAACCCCGAGGTACGTAGCTTTGAACATGCTCCCAAAGATATGCAGAGTCATGAAATGAATGTAAAAAATAACCGGCGGCGAAGGAGGGGAGGAGGGACAGTAAGACATATGCCCTACGGACAACCGTAGATCACTCCAGAAAGCCTCACTTTGTAGTACCGTGCTAAATTCATTTCATATCTCGGATGAAATATGATATGAATTTAGCACGGTATTGGAAATGGTTTAACGTCCTGGGGTGTTTTCCCGTGTTTAACGTTGTTAGGTGTTAAACACTGCCCTCAAGGGGTGTTTCCGAGGTGTTATTCCCTCTATGTCAAACCTTTAACGATCGAAAAAGCGGTGCCCCCATTTCAAACAGCTATAATGCCGTTCAGCTTTTTTAAAAATATGGTTCCCTAATTTTCTCTTATGGCAATATCAGTTGGTAAATAATTGAACAGATGTACCTGTTTAATCTTAAAGTAAAAGAGAGAGAGAGAGAGAAACTGTAGATAGCAAAGGAGGAGCTCGAAATACTGGACAAAGACCTTGATACGTTAACGAGATTCAAAAGAATGTATTACGAGAAAAACAAAAGGAGATCAAAGCTAAGAGGGTGTTTGGGAGTGATTAGCTTATTGATAAAGTGATTTCTACAAAAGCTGAAAGCAAAAGCACCTCATACCTACTTCTCCAAAACGGTGTTCCATGTAGAAAATAATGTTGGTGAAAAGCAGAAACTGACATGCCAAACAGAGTAAAATCACTTCCACTCAAAGCAGAAGCTAAATTGTTAAAAGCAGCGCACTGCCAAACACCCTCTAAATATGGATGAAGTAGTGTTTTTTTATTTATGTAATAATGTTGTGTTTTTTAATTTTATTTACTTTCTGTTAAGAGGAATTTGAGAATAACAGAAAAAAACGAGAAAACACGACAACAGATTTAACGTGGTTCACCAACGTTGTGTTGGCTAGTCCACGGGAAGAGGGGGGAGCAGTTTTATTTCTGATGGAGAGGCAAAAAACAGAATACAACCTAGGGTTTGTAGTAGCACCCATATAAATAGTGCTTGGCTAAAACCCTAACAGACTTGGGCCCCAAACTACAGATTTAACAGATAATTAGAAGCCCAGTTAGAAAAAAGATTCGGTCATCTCAGGATTTGGATCTCTCGAGATTTGGATTTCTCGACTTCTTCTGAAATTGGATTTCTCGACTTCTCCGGAATTCGGATTTCTCGACTTCTCCGGAATTCGGATCACTCCGGATCTAGAGGAGTCAGATTCAAGGCATTACAACAAATTTCCACCTTGACTTGAATTCTCCATACAGATTCTTCAGACGCACTATGGTTGTGCCAGGCCTCTAACTCTTCCTCAGAATTACCCCGCAGGGCAACTAACAGCTTCTGATGTTAAGCAAGTCCAAATAGCGTTGAAACTTGCTTTGCGGAACCGGCTTTGTGAACATATCAGCAGGATTATCAGCAGTTCCTACTTTCTTCACCTGCATTCTTCTCTCACTCCTCAGGAAATGATACCTCACGTCAATATGCTTGGTTCTCTCATGATGGACTTGATCCTTGGCTAGACAAATCGCACTCAAACTGTCACAATACACTGTAGCCTTATCATGATGCAGACTGAGATCACTAACCAGCCCTTTCAGCCAAATTCCCTCTTTCGCAGCTTCTGTCAAAGCCTTGTACTCTGCTTCCGTAGTTGACAAAGTCACTGTAGGTTGCAAAGTTGCCTTCCAGCTAATAATAGAACCTCCAAGAGTAAACACATAGCCAGTCATCGATCTTCTCGTGTCAACATCTCCAGCATAGTCAGAATCAGAATATCCTGTAACCAAACACTGAGTATCACCTCCATAAATGAGACCAACGTCAGATGTACCCCTAAGGTACCGGAAAATCCTCTTCACAGCCTGCCAATGTTCTCTCCCTGGTTGTCCCATGAATCTGCTAACTACACTTACTGCATGTGCTATATCTGGCCTTGTACAGGCCATAACATACATCAAACTTCCTACAGCACTGGCATAAGGGACTCGTGACTTATACTCCTTCTCTTCTTCTGACTGTGGAGCGAACATGGCAGTGAGATGGATATTGGCAGCACTGGGGGTGTCAATAGGCTTAGATGAAGACATGCCAAACCTCGTCAAGACCTTCTGAATGTAACCTCTTTGTGACAAGAAAAGTTTCCTTTTCCTCTCTGTCTCTAATGATCTCCATTCCTAAAATCTTCTGAGCGGCTCCCAGATCCTTCATCTCAAACTCAGCACTAAGTAAACCCTTCAGCTTCTGGACGTCATACTTTTGCTTTGCAGCTATCAACATATCATCTACATAGAGCACCAGATAGATGAATGAATCATCTTTGAGCCGATTGTAGTAGACACAACAATCATATGAGCTCCGAGTATAGCCCAACTTCACCATATAGCTGTCAAATCTTTTGTACCACTGTCTTGGGGACTGCTTAAGTCCGTATAAGGACTTCTTCAACTTGCAAACGTGACTTTCCTTCCCTGGAACTTGGAAACCATCCGGCTGAGTCATGTATATCTCTTCCTCCAACTCTCCATGTAGAAAAGCTGTCTTCACATCAAGTTGTTCGAGCTCTAGATTTTGATGTGCAACTATTGCTAGTAGCACGCGGATAGAAGTGTGTCTGACCACAGGTGAGAAAATCTCATTGTAGTCCACTCCCTCTCTTTGGTTGAAACTTCTCGCAATGACCCTGGCTTTATACTTGACCCCTTCTGCTGGTGATATCCCTTCCTTCTTCTTGAAAACCCATTTGCAAGTAATAATCTTTCTCCCCGGAGGCTTTATGACAAGATCTAATGTTTGATTCTTATTCAGAGACTCCATCTCATCTCCCATCGCGGCTAACCATTTTTCAGAATCAGGACTTAAAACAGCTTCTCTGTATGTAGATGGTTCAGAAGTATCTACCTCTTCAGCAACCTGCAGTGCATAACCCACCATGTCCTCAAAACCATACCTCATAGGTGGCCGAACTCCAACCCTTCTTGGTCGATCTTGAGCTATACTACGATGGGTATCTGATGGCATAGATTCTGGGAAATCAGTTTCTGTCTGTGGCTCTTGATTCTCCTCTTCAGGTTCTTTCATATCACTCTCGTTCTGAGTGACTTGAAGCTCCACCTGTTTATCAAGGCTCTTAGTTTTTGTCGTAGTTATAGGCTTCACGATGGTTCTAAACAGAGAACTTTCATCAAAAACAACGTTTCTGCTCAGGATAACCCTCTTTTCTGCTGGAGACCAGATTCTAAAACCTTTCACTCCATCTCCGTAGCCCACAAATACTCCCTTTTTAGCTCATGGTTCTAGCTTACCTTCACTGACATGGTAGTAAGCTGTACAACCAAAAGCTCTCAGATTTGAATAATCAGCAGCTTTTCCTAACCACATCTCCACAAGTGTCTTGCACTGAATGCCTGTATGTGGTCCGCGGTTAATCAAGTAACAGGCTGTACTAACCGCTTCTGCCCAGAACCTCCTGTCTAGCCTGACATTAGAGAGCATGCACCTTGCTCTCTCCAGAAGTGTTTGATTCATCCGCTCAGCTACACCGTTCTGTTGTGGTGTATTTCTGACTGTACGATGTCGAGCAATCCCTTCATCCTTACAGAATTGATCAAATTCAGACCAACAGAATTCGAGCCCATTATCAGTTCGCAACCTCTTGATCTTCTTCCCTGTTTGATTTTCCATCAATGTTTTCCACTCCTTGAACTTCTGGAGAGCATCACTTTTGTGCTTCATCATGTACACCCAAGTCATCCTTGAGTAATCATCAATAATTGACACAAAAAATCTGCATCCTCCCAAAGACTCAACTCGGCATAGACCCCAGCAATCAGAATGGATGTAATCAAGTATGCCTTTTGTTCTATGAATGGCCTTTGGAAACTTGTTGCGATGTAGTTTTCCAAAAACACAATGTTCACAAAACTCCAGAATCTTTACCTTATGACCCGCAAGAAGATCCTCCTTTGACAGAATTTGCATCCCTTTTTCACCCATATGACCAAGTCTCATGTGCCACAACTTGGTCATATCTTCCTGCTTGACTTCTGATGATGCAATATGGACTGAACCTGTAACCGTGGAAACTTGTAAAAAATACAAAGTACCCCGCATGACACCTTTCAGAATCAGATTTGAACCCTTCCAGATGCGCAAAACTCCATCTTTTCCTGACCAACTGAACCCCTTGCTGTCCAAAAGACTGAGAGATATCAGATTCTTTGTCATCAATGGCACGTGCCTGACCTCGTTCAATGTGCAGAAGCTACCATCATGTGTCCTTATCTTGATCGAGCCTGTCCCAACCACCTTGCAGACAAAACTGTTGGCCATCGAAATGCTCCCTCTGTCTACCTGCTCATAAGTCGTGAACCACTCTCTCCTTGGACAAATGTGATAGGATGCCCCAGAATCTAGAACCCACACATCTGAGTGATGAGTATTTTCATCAGCAACTAAGGCAATGTCTTCTTCAGAGTTGGTGTCTTCTTCAGCAACAGCAGCAGAAACTGACTGTTTTTCGGATTGCTTCTTCTTCTTTGGACAATCAAACTTCCAATGCCCCTTCTCCTTGCAGTAATTACAGACATCATCCGGCTTTGCACCCTTTGACGACGGCTTTCTCTCCTTCTTCTTTCCGCCGTATTTCTTTCCCTTTCTGGTACTGGTGAATAGGCCGGAAGGTTGTACATCTGTACTCGTGCTGTTAGCCTTATGCCGCAATTCTCTGCTGTGAAGGGCCGATCTAACTTCTTCCAGAGACACAGTATCTTTCCCAACAATGAACGATTGAACAAAATTCTCAAACGATATTGGAAGAGATACCAACAGAATCAGGGCATCATCTTCATCCTCGATTTTTACATCGATATTACGCAATTCTAATAACAAAGTATTTAATTGCTCTAAATGTTCCCTGAGTGGTGTACCTTCAGCCATTCGTAAACTGAATAGACGTTGTTTCAGAAGTAGCTTGTTGGTTAAAGATTTCGTTATGTACAGACTCTCCAACTTCAACCACAAGCCAGCAGCAGTCTCCTCGTCTGAGACCTCCATGATAACGTCATCTGGCAGACACAGCATGATCGTCGAGTGCGCCTTCTCTTCCAGAGTCTCCATCTCAGGAGTAGCGACGGTGTTTTTGTCTTTCGACAACGACAGCCAGAAACCTTGTTGTTTCAATAAAGCCCGCATCTTGAACTGCCATAAACTGAAACTATTCCTCCCTGTGAATTTGTCGATTTTCACGTTCAAATCAGACATCTCGAAATTCTTTAAGAACACAGATTAACCTGGAGGCTCCGATACCAGTTTGTTAAGAGGAATTCGAGAATAACAGAAAAAAATGAGAAAACACGACAACAGATTTAACGTGGTTCACCAACGTTGTGTTGGCTAGTCCACGGGAAGAGGGGGGAGCAGTTTTATTTCTGATGGAGAGGCAAAAAACAGAATACAACCTAGGGTTTGTAGTAGCACACATATAAATAGTGCTTGGCTAAAACCCTAACAGACTTGGGCCCCAACTACAGATTTAACAGATAATTAGAAACCCAATTAGAAAAAAGATTCGGTCATCTCAGGATTTGGATCTCTCGAGATTCGGATTTCTCGACTTCTTCTGAAATCGGATTTCTCGACTTCTCCGGAATTCGGATTTCTCGACTTCTCCGGAATTCGGATCACTCCGGATCTGGAGCTGTAACGAGTCAGATTCAAGGCATTACAACACTTTCTTTTATTTAATATATTTTTTAATGAATTATTGAAGTTTTAATTTTATTAATTAATGATATCCGATTAATGTATTTTTATAAAATATATATTAAAAAAGATCTAAAATCCCGATTTGAAGCCCGGTATTTTCACCGAAATTGTAGTGTATATTAAAGAGGGACTAAGGCTCCGTTCCGTTCAACTTATTTTTTCTGATCTGATCTGATTCTAATAAGTTCTGATCTGATCTGGTCTGATCTGATCTGATCTGATTGGATCTGATCTGATCTGATATGATCTGATTGGATCTGATCTGATCTAATCTGATTGGATCTGATCTGATCTGATTGGATCTGATCTGATCTGATTGGATCTGATATGATTGGATCTGATCTGATCTGATTGGATCTGATCTGATTGGATCTGATGTGATCTGGTCTGATCTGATTAATTATGATTTAATTTAAAATTTCAAATCAATAATTTAATTTGACTTTATAATAATGTTTGAAAATTGTAATGATAATTCATGTTATAATATAATCAATATTTTTTATTTAATGATTCCTTTTTAATAAAATAAAAATAGTTAATTCATATATTAGAATAATCATTCATATTATAATGTAATAATATTTTTTATTTTATGATAATTTTTTTGTAAAATTAGAATTATACATTGGAATAAATATTTAATTTAGATATACATTTAAAAGTAATTAAATTTAGATAATCAATATATAGAAGAGATATTATTTTTATTAAAATATCTCATCCTTATAAAAG